GTCAGCACTCTGGTTACAAACTAAATTTTCATAAAACCCTTGCCTATAATTATAAACCAAACAAATATCTTTTAAAATGTTTACAGTGTAATTGGAATAACCACATAATTAAATACTTAGGAGTCCAAATACCCAAAGAATCTGCCTCAATTTTTAAAAACAATTATGTACCTAACATAACATCTAATATGAAAGCAGATTTGGAGCGATGGCTGCTACTCCCAATGAATCTACACAACAGAATTGAACTGATAAAAATGACTGTATTACCAAAACTTCTTTATTTATTTCTGGCATTACCGGTTGAAGTGCCCTCCAGGCAGTTTACCGAATGGAACAGAATGATTTCAGATTTTATTTGGAATAAACAAATTGAATGTTTGTCTTAAAGAGCTCAAACATGAGTCTGTCGAAAGGGACGCAAGAATACTGCGCTACCCAACATATGACCAGTGTTGGGGAGTAACAGATTACATGTACCGGAGTTACATAATCAGAGTACAAATTATGAGTAACTGTATTCAGTTACTGTTTCAGAGAGTGGTAATTGGATTACAGTTACTTTGTTGAAATAAATGGATTACACTGGGCTATATCTCTTTTTTTCCCCGTAATTCCACTAATTGCCGGACACTAAACCAGGTCTAAACCAGGTCTAAACCAGGTCTAAACCAGGCCTAAACCAGGACTAAAACCAAGTCTAAACTAGGTCGAAACCAGGATTTAACAGGACTAAACCATGCCACACGGACCGAATCTTTTTCTTTCTTTGTCCCTCTGAGAAAGAAAAAGATTAAAAACATTCAATTACACAAATCTCCGCTATTTTTCTCAGAAAATAAGAATCTACATTTTTATAAACCAAGCCTCCGCACACTTTCCACTTTTCAAAATTCCCACCCGGAACCAAAATAATCCGGGTGAAGTCCATCGGAGCGCTTTTGGCAGACACCACCCCGAAGACGCCGCTGCAGTTGGTCCGAGCCGCCCGCCGCCATCGGTAAGTTTTACACATGGATCTATGTTTTACACTTTTAACAAATATAGATCCATGTTCTAACTCCACATTTATCCAAGTTTGGTATCAAGACTCATAGATTTAGAATCTCGCGTTCAGACTCTTGAAATGCGTTAATACAGCCGCCATCTTGGTGCGGGGTCTCCCTGGTTTAAGGTAAAGTTTTTCACAGTTTCAGATGCGGGACGAACGAGCGGAATAAGAAGACGAAAGAACAAAGCAAAACGTTTCATAGGAACGATTTTATTTTGTAAGTCAGTGATACTTAATGTTATTGTGTTTTGAACCCAGACTGACTGAACCAGGACTAATGTTGGACTTAGAGCTCGAGAGAGAGAGAGAGAGTGTGTTTATTGTTTGGCTTTGCTTTCTCACTGTTCCTGATGGACTGATGTCGCTACAACTAAAGTCTGGTGAAGATAACTGCACCTACAAGCAAACAGCCAAAGCAATATTTCACGACGCCACTAGAGAAACCCTGAAACCAGACACTGGAATTACAGTAATGATGTTTATTAGGGATGTACCAGTAACCGAAATATCATGATATCGTATTGTCAAAGTTCTCACAATAATATCGTGGACCATCACAAGATATAGAATTATAAGTCTCTTTGTGTAAATTAAGAGTTATGGTGCAGCAACGGCTAAAAACAAAACAAAAAGACAAAGGAACTATATTGTCCATGATCCTTTGCTCCATTTCAGTGCAGACGACAAGAAGAAATAACAGATTTAAGCACTTTTAAGTCTTAGTTCTTTGGATTAAGTCTTGTCAAGGTATTTTAAGAGGAAAAAGTAGAATATTAACAGTTTTGTTTGCAGCCTTCACAAAATATTGCAATAAATATTATACTGTGAGATGAATATTGTGAAAATATCGTACAGAGAGATTTGGATATTGTCACATCCCTAATCGTGAACCTTCCCACCATATCGTGAACTTTCCCATGATATCACAATAAATATTGTGTATGTTTCTGTAATTTGATTTTCTTTTGCTACAGACAGAAAAGGTGTGCCTTTAAAATAAAATACAAACTTAGTTAATTCATTCAGCCAAATGTCACTTGCTTGTAAAACACACATTGAAACATTCTTACATATGATTTACTATGTGTGATTTTATGTATATTTAGTGTGAACAGTTAAAAAAGTAATTTTACTTGACACTTCCTTTCCTTTGTTCTAATGCAGAGCGACAAGATCCACCGACAGAATGGGGTTCATGTGACCAGTGTGGAAAGGTGTGGCCAAATGCTTCCAAACTGAAATGTCACTACAGAATTCACACAGGAGAAAGACCATACAGCTGTGACCAGTGTGGGAAGGAATTTACAAACATCGGTGGCCTCCGTGAACATATGAGAATTCACACAGGAGAGAAACCATTTGAATGTGACCAATGTGGAAAGGCGTTTACACTATCTGGTAATCTCCGTCAACATATGAGAATTCATACAGGGGAAAAACCGTACAGATGTGATTTGTGTTGTAAAAAATTTAGACATTCCAGTGGCTTCTATCGACATAAGAGAACTCACACAGGAGAAAAACCGTACAGATGTGATGTTTGTGAAAAGACATTTTCAGATTCAAGCCACCTCATACCACATATGAGAGTCCACACTGGAGAGAGGCCATACGAGTGTGACCATTGTGGGAAAAGGTTCTCTATATCAACCAATCTCAAAGCACACCTGAGAACTCACTCCTGCGACATAGTATATGAGTGTGACCAGTGTGAAAAGGCTTTTAAAACATCCCAGCAACTCTCCAGTCACTACAGAACGCACACAGGAGATGAACCGGACAACTGAAGAAAGGGGAAGGCTTTCAGGTCTGTGAGGAACATGTCTAAATCTTCCAGACTGAAGAGAAAAGCTGCAGCTGTGACTAGTGTGAAAGGACTTTGAGGAAACCTGCTCATCTGAAGCTGCACCCTCTTGAACACACTAAAGGAGAAAAAGCTGCTTAGGCTGGATCAATTGAACCTAAAGTCAGACTCAAAAAGCTGGAGATCAGGCTTCAGAGACTCCAGACTGTGGAGCTGAGCTCTGTGAAGTGTCAAAAATTAAAAGCTTAAAATGATATGTCAAGATTTTATTTCTTTTTTTATTAAAAAGTCGGGCAGCCATGGGGTGTTAAGTCTTAAAAAGGTCTTGAATTTCATGTTCCTAAATTAAGGCCTTAAAAAGTCTTAAATTATGTTTTCCAAGTCTTATTTTTTCCACAAAGGTCTTAAATTTCATTAGATAGTTTTTTTGTATATTCACCCAGGCTGTTCAGTGGAGGCAGGAAAAAAAAACAACTAGAGCAGCACTCAGAGAGCGCAGACCTCCGCCAAGGACTACAGTCCCCCTCATATTAATTGTGTTTTCCATAAATATTTGTCTCGTATCTTTCAATTTGGAATATGAAAGAGGATCCGATTGTCCATCCCTGAGTCAAATTTCATGGGGTTTGGTCAATAATTAACCGAGATATTGAGAAACAAAATTTTTGGCCCCATTTACCACAGTGTTAACTAAAATTTCAAAGTGATCCAGAATCCAGGATTTCTTCCGGATCACCCCCAAAATGAAATCAGTTCTTCCTTTTCACATTTCCAACAAATCCTGAAAATTTCATCAAAATCGGTCCATAACTTTTTGAGTTATGTTGCTAACAGACAAACAAACAAACAGACAGACAAACAAACAAACAAACAAACGCCGGCAAAAACATAACCTCCTTGGCGGAGGTAACAACGTGAAATCATATAACGTGAATGAACGTCTAATTTGGAGTATGCACAAATAATACTTAGGTTTCTGGCACCGGCGGCAATGAGTAAACAATCAGTAGAGTGGAGGAAGACGTTGGATGGATCATGGGGAAGTGCAGGTTTAATCCACAGTGGCTTTTAGATTCTAGATATAGTAGTTGTTTGGTCATTATTAGAATTGGATCTGGAGTTTTTTGCCTGCATAATGGGTGCAATATTGGTCTTAATTTTCATTTGAATGGTCTTCAAATAGTCTTAAATTTGGTGTAGTCAAACCTGAGGATACCCTGGAAGGACGTTTTAGCAGACGTTTGTCCATCTTATTCTTCACTGTTTATAATGAAGAATAAGATGGACAAACTTCAGCTCAGAGGTGGTTCCTCTGATTAAGAAGTATATTTTTCACAGAGGAAAGAGGTTTTGAGATATCTGATGAAAAATTGATTGAGACTTTTAAAAGTTGAGATGTGACAGGTAAAGAAAAAGGGAAACTCAAGCTGCTGCTGTTTTTTTCTGAAATAGAACCCTTTGTTTTAAGATGCACAATTCAGCCATTTTATTTATTTTCTCTAATTCATTTTAAACTGCAGCCCTGTATATAATGTAGACCTACTGTGTGTTTCAGTGTTAAAAATACATTTTTGTTGAAATGTTTTTCACTTGTATTTTCATTGATTTGACAGTCCAATGTTCATACTTTCAGACAATAATAAAACTATGCTACTTCTGTGTCACAATCATAATGTAAGTCTGACATTATGAGGTCCTAGATCCCCACTTGAGATTTTCTCCAACCTCAAATTTAATTTGAATACCCCTCCCTGCATTAGGATAAATATTCACATATAATACACACTAAAAACATGAACATTCCATTATACAAATCTCCGCTATTTTTCCAAGCCCCCAGGTTCCAAAATGGCCGCGCATTCAAGTCAATGGGCTGAGCTCAATGGCGCATGATCCCAGATTAGCCTAGCCCGGCTAGGTACTTCCGGTGGCCGGGGGCCGACCGAGCATGCGCAGTAGTGCTCTTTTCTCCCATGGGCACACGCGACCACACGCACGGAGCGCGGGCTCGTGTATCACGTGATCGCTTTGACCAATCAGAGCGAGAGGAACGTGAGCAGAGCGGAGCCGGAGCTAACGAATATAAAGCGTTTTTTAAGACAACTGAAGGATTTTGAGCGAGAAAAAGTTTATAATCTAAAAGTAGGTAAAAATCGCCACAAAACCCGACATTTTTGAAAGTTGTAGGTGCCCTGTCAGCCGAACACGAGCAGGTTGTGATTACATTGCGCTCTATGAGAAAAATCTTCTCTCGGCCCATGGGATTTTTTCGACTGTAGAACCACTGAGTGGCCACTACGTCAACTCGAGGCAGCTACAAGCTAGCAATACTGTATCCAGTTATTTTAATAGATCCATGTATTTTTCTCAGAAAATAAGACTCTACATTTTTATAAACCAAGCCCCCGCACAATTTCCACTTTTCAAAGTTCCCACCCGGAACCAAAATAAGCCGGATGAAGTCCGTCGGAGCGCTTTTGGCAGACACCACCCAGAAAACGCCGCTGCAGTTGGTCCGAGCCGCTCGCCGCCATCGGTAAGTTTTACTCATGGATCTATGTTTTACACTTTTAACAAATATAGATCCATGTTCCAACTCCACATTTATCTCAAGTTTGGTGTCAAGACTCACAGATTTAGAATCTCGCGTTCAGCCTCTTGGCACGCGTTAATACAGCCGCCATCTTGGTGCGGGGTCTCCCTGGTTTAAGGTAAAGTTTTTCACAGTTTCAGATGCGGGACGAACGAGCGGAGTAAGAAGACGAAAGAGCAAAGCAAATCATTTCATAGGAACGATTTTATTTTGTAAGTCAGTGATACTTAATGTTATTGTGTTTTGAACCCAGACTGACTGAACCAGGACTAATGTTGGACTTAGAGCTCGAGAGAGAGAGAGTGTGTTTATTGTTTGGCTTTGCTTTCTCACTGTTCCTGATGGACTGATGTCGCTACAACTAAAGTCTGGTGAAGATAACTGCACCTACAAGCAAACAGCCAAAGCAATATTTCACGACGCCACTAGAGAAACCCTGAAACCAGACACTGGAATTACAGTAATGATGTTTATTAGGGATGTACCAGTAACCGAAATATCATGATATCGTATTGTCAAAGTTCTCACAATAATATCGTGGACCATCACAAGATATAGAATTATAAGTCTCTTTGTGTAAATTAAGAGTTATGGTGCAGCAACGGCTAAAAACAAAACAAAAAGACAAAGGAACTATATTGTCCATGATCCTTTGCTCCATTTCAGTGCAGACGACAAGAAGAAATAACAGATTTAAGCACTTTTAAGTCTTAGTTCTTTGGATTAAGTCTTGTCAAGGTATTTTAAGAGGAAAAAGTAGAATATTAACAGTTTTGTTTGCAGCCTTCACAAAATATTGCAATAAATATTATACTGTGAGATGAATATTGTGAAAATATCGTACAGAGAGATTTGGATATTGTCACATCCCTAATCGTGAACCTTCCCACCATATCGTGAACTTTCCCATGATATCACAATAAATATTGTAGAAATATTTAACAACAAAGTTGTTAAATATCTCTGTGTATGTGTCCTTAATTTGATTTTCTTTTGCTACAGACAGAAAAGGTGTGCTTTATTTTTTATTATTATTATTGATTTATTTATTTATTTTATTTATTTATCCTTATTATTATTATTTATTTTTATTATTATTTTTATTTTTATTTTTTGTATGCGTGTTTAGTTAAGTCCGTCTTATTGTGGATGTGACAAATTATAAATAATAAAAAAAAATAATAATTAAAAAAAAGGAAAAGGTGTGCTTTTAAAATAAAATACAAACTTAGTTAATTCATTCAGCCAAATGTAACTTGCTTGTAAAACACATATTGAAACATTCTTACATATGATTTACTATGTGTGATTTTATGTATATTTAGTGTGAACAGTTAAAAAAGTAATTTTACTTGACACTTCCTTTCCTTTGTTCTAATGCAGAGCGACAAGATCCACCGACAGAATGGGGTTCACATGTGACCAGTGTGGAAAGGTGTGGCCAAATGCTTCCAAACTGAAATGTCACTACAGAATTCACACAGGAGAAAGACCATATAGCTGTGACCAGTGTGGGAAGGGATTTAAAAACATCGGTGGCCTCCATGAACATATGAGAATTCACACAGGAGAGAAACCATTTGAATGTGACCAATGTGGAAAGGCGTTTACACTATCTAATAATCTCCGTCAACATATGAGAATCCACACAGGGGAAAAACCGTACAGATGTGATTTTTGTTGTAAAGAATTTAGACATTCCAGTGTCTTCTATCGACATAAGAGAACTCACACCGGAGAAAGACCATACAGCTGTGATGTTTGTGGGAAGGGATTTATATACTCTGGTGGCCTCCATCGACATATGAGAACTCACACAGGAGAGAAACCATACAGCTGTGACCAGTGTGGACAGGAATATACAAGCCCCTGTGTCCTCCGTCAACATATGAGAATCCACACAGGAGAGAAACCATTTGAATGTGACCAGTGTGAGAAGAAATTTATAGACTGTGGTAATCTCCATCAGCATATGAGAATTCACACTGGGGAAAAAAAGTACAGATGTGATGTTTGTGAAAAGAAATTTTCACAGTCAACCAACTTTAAATCACATATGAGAACTCACACAGGAGAGAAACCGTTTCAATGTGACCAGTGTGGGAAGGCATTTATACAATCTGGTAATCTCCGTAAACATATGAGAATCCACACTGGGGAAAAACCGTACAGATGTGATGTTTGTGAAAAGAGATTTTCAGAGTCAAGCCACCTCATACCACATATGAGAATCCACACTGGAGAGAGGCCATACGAGTGTGACCATTGTGGGAAAAGGTTCTTTACATCATCCAATCTCAAATCACACATGAGAACTCACTCCTGGGTCATAGTATATGAGTGTGACCAGTGTGAAAAGGCTTTTAAAACATCCCAGCAACTCTCCAGTCACTACAGAACACACACTGAGGAGACGAACCAGACGACTGAAGAAAGGGGAAGGCTTTCAGGTCTGTGAGGAACATGTCTAAATCTTCCAGACTGAAGAGAAAAGCTGCAGCTGTGACTAGTGTGAAAGGACTTTGAGGAAACCTGCTCATCTGAAGCTGCACCCTCTTGAACACACTAAAGGATAAAAAGCTGCTGAGGCTGGATCAATTGAGCTTAAATTCAGACTCAAAAAGCTGGAGACTGGGTTTCAGAGACTCCAGACTGTGGAGCTGAGCTCTGTGTAGTGTCATAAATTAAAAGCTTAAAATGATATGTCAAGATTTTATTTCTTTTTTATGAAAAAGTCGGGCAGTCATGGGGTGTTAAAAGTCTTAAAAAGGTCTTGAATTTCATGTTCCTAAATTAAGTCCTTAAAAAGTCTTAAATTATGTTTATTTTTTTCACAAAGGTCTTTAATTTCATTAGATTGTTTTTTGTATATTCACCCAGGCTGGTCAGTGGAGGCAGGAAAAAAAAACAACAACATGAAATCATGTAACGTAAATGAACGTCTAATTTGGAGTATGCGCAAACAATACTTAGGTTTCTGGCACCAGCGGCAATGAGTAAACCATCATTAGAGTTTAGGAAGACGTTGGATGGATCATGGGGAAATGCAGGTTTAATCCACAGTGGCTTTTAGATTCGAGATATAGTAGTTGGTTGGTCATTATTAGAATTGGATCTGGAGTTTTTCGCCTGCATAATGGGTGCAATATTGGTCTTAATTTTTGTTTAATTGGTCTTAAAATGGTCTTTACTCTAAATTTAAGACTTTTTTAGTCAAACCTGAGGATACCCTGGAAGGACGTTTTAGCAGAAGTTTGTCCATCTTATTCTTCACTGTTTACAATGAAGAATAAGATGGACAAACTTCAGCTCAGAGGTGGTCCCTCTGTTTAAGAAGTATATTTTTCACAGAGGAAAGAGGTTTTGAGATATCTGATGAAAAATTGATTGAGACTTTTAAGTTGAGATGTGACAGGTAAAGAAAAAGGGAAACTCAAGCTGCTGCAGTTTTTTTCTGAAATAAAACCCTTTGTTTTAAGATGCACAATTCAGCTATTGTATTTATTTTCTGTAACTCATTTTAAACTGCAGCCCTGTATATAATGTAGACCTACTGTGTGTTTGTGTTAAAAATACATTTTGTTGAAATGTTTTTCACTTGTATTTTCATTGATTTGACAGTCCGATGTTCATACTTTCAGACAATAATAAAATGATGCTACTTCTGTATCACAATCATAATGTAAGTCTGACATTATGAGATCCTGGACCTCCACTTGAGGAAATTTTCTACAACCATCTCAAATTTTAGTTGAATACCCCTCCCTGCATTAGGATAAATATTCACATATAATACACATTAAAAATATGAACATTCCATTATACAAATCCCCGCCATTTTTCTCAGAAAATAACAATCTACATTTTATCAACCAAGCCCCCGCACACTTTCCACTTCTCAAAGTTCCCACCCGGAACCAAAATAAGCCGGGTCAAGTCCGTCGGAGCGCTTTTGGCAGACACCACCCGGAAGACGCCGCCGCAGTTGGTCCGAGCCGCCCGCCGCCATCGGTAAGTTTTACTCATGGATCTATGTTTTACACTTTTAACAAATATAGATCCATGTTCTAACAACACATTTATCCATTTTTGGATGTTTTGGATCTTGAAATGCGTTAATACAGCCGCCATCTTGGTGCGGGGGCTCCCTGGTTTAAGGCAGAGGTCTTCAACGGGGGGTCGCGAAATCTTTGGCTCGTTAGACTTTTAGATATTTTTATATATTTATATTATATGTATATTTATATATTATTTCTGAAGGATGAGGATGAAGTGGTTTTCAGTGGGTTCTGTCTGCACACACGGCAGAACACCGGAGCGGCTCCATCGCACCCACGAGCTCATTTACGTATTAATATATGTACGTAATACGTTATGTTTACGTTCTTTTGTGAGGCTCTGTCCTCACATTTGTCCAAAACTAATGAAAACAAGCTTCTTACCTTCTCCAGAGGAGCAGAGTGTGTCCTCTATCTGCTGTTCTGACTCCAAAAGTGCATTAGTGGCCAACATGAAGAGATGAAACCATGGTCCAAGTCCCGGTCCAGTCAGGTCCTCGATACAAGGTCCTGGAGCCGAATGCACGAGCTGGTTGTAAAACTACTCCTAATCCCACTTGCCACTTAAATCTGAAAGTTACACGAGTCCATATTAGCTCTAGGGCACCAGGTAGACTTAAGCCCTCTGCGCTACGCCCAGGTGAATCTGGGAACACCATCCCAGTGACTATACATGAACTGTTAGTCACTTCCTTCTCTGATCAATTTAAATCATGGCTGTTGGATAATCAGATCTCTCCACACAACTGAACTTAAACAGCCCCTTTTGCTCATCACCTGAGAATTGAAATGGTGTTTGTACATAGACCTGTAAATAGATGGTGGAACAGAATTTAATGCTGTACATGTGGAACAGTCAGTCCCGATGACTCAGCAGAGCTGTTTTTCTGTCCTTCAGAATTAAAGTTGCACTGTTACACCAAAGCCCAGGCTTCTGTTGTCACATGTGTTACATTTGTCATTTCCACTGAACATGTGGATTAGAATTCAGAGCAACAAAGTTGTTAAATATCTCTGTGTATGTTTCCTTAATTTGATTTTGTTTAGCTACAGACAGAAAAAGTGTGCCTTTAAAATAAAATACAAACTTAGTTGATGCTTTCAGTCAATTGTAACCTGCTTGTAAAACACACATTGAAACATTCTTACATATGATTTACTATTTGTGATTTTATGTGTATTTAGTGTGAACAGTTACAAAAGTAATTTTACTTGACACTTTTTCTTTGTTCTAATGCAGAGCGACAAGATCCACCAACAGAATGGGGTTCACATGTGACCAGTGTGGAAAGATGTGGCCAAACCCTTACGGACTGAAAAGACACTACAGAATCCACACGGGAGAAAAACCATACAGGTGTGACCAGTGTGGGAAGGAATTTATAGAATCTTGTAATCTCCATCAACATATGATAATCCACACCGGGAAGAAACCATTCAAATGTGATGTTTGTGAAAAGAGATTTGCACTGTCAGCCCACTTTAAATCACATATGAGAACTCACACAGGGGAGAAAACATTTCAATGTGACCAGTGTGGAAAGGCATTTATACACTATAGTAATCTCCATCAACATATGAGAATCCACACTGGGGAAAAACCATACAGATGTGATGTTTGTGAAAAGACATTTTCACAGCCAACCCACCTTGTATCACATATGAGAATCCACACTGGGGAGAGGCCATACAAGTGTAACCAGTGTGGGAAGACATTTGCACATTCTGCTGCCCTTGTTCGACATATGAGAATCCACACTGGAGAGAGGCCATACAAATGTGATGTTTGTGAAAAGACATTTTTAGCTTCAGGCTGCCTTGTATCACATATGAGAATCCACACTGGAGAGCGGCCATACAAGTGTGACCAGTGTGGGAAGGCGTTTCTACGATCTAATGCCCTTGTTCAACATATGAGAGTCCACACTGGAGAGAAGCCACATGAGTGTGACCATTGTGAGAAAAGGTTCTCTACATCATCCAATCTCAAAGCACACATGAGAACTCACTCCTGGGACATAGTATATGAGTGTGACCAGTGTGAAAAGGCTTTTAAAACATCCCAGCAACTCTCCAGTCACTACAGAACACACACTGAGGAGACGAACCAGACGACTGAAGAAAGCAGAAGGCTTTCAGGTCTGTGAGGAACATGTCTAAATCTTCCAGACTGAAGAGAAAAGCTGCAGCTGTGACCAGTGTGGAAGGACTTTGAGAAAACCTGCTCATCTGAAGCTGCATCCTCTTGAACACACTAAAGGAGAAAAAGCTGCTGAGGCCGGATCAAGTGAACCTAAAATCAGACTCAAAAAGCTGGAGATCGGGCTTCAGAGACTCCAGACTGTGAACATGAGCTTTGTGCAGTGTCAAAAATTAAAAGCTTAAAATTATATGTCAAGATTTTTTATTTTTTTTATTTCGATAGAGGTTTGAGCAGAAGCTTGTCCATCTTATTCTTTGCTGTTTACAATGAAGAGTAAAATGGACAAACTTTAGCTCAGGGGTGGTCCTTCTGTTTAAGAAGAGGGACTGGAGGGTGTGTTCCAACTACAGGGGGATCTTTTTTTTATTTTTTTATTACAAACACATAACAACAAGACAAAACAACAAATGTATATACAGTATAAGGTGCAGATTGGATTGTTGTTGCATCAATGCAAAGTCAGTTATGGCAAGAGTGAGGTATGGAAAATACATTCATACACATAAATATACATAAACATATATACACACTGCAACATGGGGGGTGGTTTGCAAATTAACATACAGGGGAGCAGAAGGAATGAAACCAAAACTAAACAACAGAATAACAAAACAAAACAATGTTATAAATTAAATAAAGCTATACTAGATTTTTTATAGATATTGTAAGTTTTAACTGCTTTTTTGTTTTGGACCTGTTTTATCGTTTGAAAGTATTGTTGTATTTCGTTATTATATTGATGAATATTTGGTTTATTTTGAGACCATTTGGTTTTGTGCATGTGATATTTTGCCAGCATCATGAGAGTCTGGATGAGGAATCTGAGATCTTTGGGGTTGGAGGGGCTGGTGAAAGAGAATAGGGCGTCACTTTCCTGGAGGCTGATCAGGTGTTTGGTTTTGGTTTGGATGAGTTGTTGTATATGGTTCCAGATGTTCTTAGTGTATGTACAGTGGTAAAACAGGTGAGTGATTGTTTCTATTTCGGTACAACAAAAGTCACAGTTGAAATCAATCTTTAATAAACTACAGGGGAATCACACTCATCAGCCTCCCTGGTCAGATCTATTCCAGGGGACTGGAGAGGAGAATCCGGCCGATAGTCGAACCTCGGATCCAGGAGGAGCAGTGTGATTTTCATCCTGGTCGTGGAAAACTGGACCAGCTCTACCCTCTCCATCGGGTGCTCGATGGTTCATGGAAGTTTGTCCAACCAGTCCACATGTGCTTTGTGGATCTGGAGGTGTTCAACCGTGTTCCTCGTGGTGTCCTGTGGGGGGCGCTCTGGAAGAATTTATTTTAACTACACATGCTGTCCGATGGTTTGATCATTTTACAATATAAAGTATGTTACCATGGCTTATTAAACTTTTTGTAAGACATCTGGCTGATTCTTTTGTGCTGATTCTTTTCCCTGCAGCAGGTCAATACAGACAGCACCTCCCTAGTATATTTTTACAGAGGAAAGAGGTTTTGAGATATCTGTTGAAAAATTGATTGAGACTATTAAGTTGAGATGTGACAGGAAAAGAAAAAGGGAAACTCAAGCAGCTGCTGTTTTTTTCTGAAATGAAGCCCTTTGTTTTAAGATGCACAATTCAGCCATTTTATTTATTTTCTCTAATTCATTTTAAACTGCAGCCCTGTATATAATGTAGACCTACTGTGTGTTTCAGTGTTAAAAATACATTTTGTTGAAATGTTTTTCACTTGTATTTTCATTGATTTGACAGTCCGATGTTCATACTTTCAGACAATAATAAAATGATGCTACTTCTGTATCACAATCATAATGTAAGTCTGACATTATGAGATCCTGGACCTGCACTTGAGGAAATTTTCTACAACCATCTCAAATTTTAGTTGAATACCCCTCCCTGCATTAGGATAAATATTCACATATAATACACATTAAAAATATGAATATTCAATTATACAAATCCCCGCCATTTTTCTCAGAAAATAACAATCTACATTTTATCAACCAAGCCCCCGCACACTTTCCACTTTTCCATGTTCCCACCCGGAATCAAAATAAGCCGGGTCAAGTCCGTCGGAGCGCTTTTGGCAGACACCACCCGGAAGACGCCGCCGCAGTTGGTCCGAGCCGCCCGCCGCCATCGGTAAGTTTTACTCATGGATCTATGTTTTACACTTTTAACAAATATAGATCCATGTTCTAACTCCACATTTATCCATTTTTGGAATCAAGACTCAGATTTAGAATCTCGCGTTCAGACTCTTGAAATGCGTTAATACGGCCGCCATCTTGGTGCTGGGGCTCCCTGGTTTAAGGCAGAGGTCTTCAACGGGGGGTCGCGAAATCTTTGGCTCATTAGACTTTTAGATATTTTTATATATTTATATTATATGTATATTTATATATTATTTCTGAAGGATGAGGATGAAGTGGTTTTCAGTGGGTTCTGTCTTTTTGCTACAGAAAGTGTCACTTTAACATAAAATACAAACTTAGTTGATGCTTTCAGCCATAATGTAACTTGCTTGTAAAACACACATTGAAACATTCTTACATATGATTTACTATTTGTGATTTTATGTGTATTTAGTGTGAACAGTTAAAAAAGTAATTTTACTTGACACTTCCTTTCCTTTCTGCTAGTGCAGAGTGACAAGATCCACCAACAGAATGGGGTTCACATGTGACAAGTGTGGAAAGGTGTGGCCAAACACTTCTGGACTGAAAAGACACTACAGAATCCACACAGTAGAAAGACGATACAGCTGTGACCAGTGTGGGAAGGAATTTATACAATCTTGTAATCTCAATCAACATATGAGAATCCACACAGGGGAAAAACCATACAAATGTGATGCTTGTGAAAAGGAATTTTCACAGTCAGCCCACCTTGTATCACATATGAGAACTCACACTGGAGAGAGGCCATATGAGTGTGACCATTGTGGGAAAAGGTTCTCTACGTCATCCAATCTCAAAACACATATGAGAACTCACTCCTGGGACATAGTATATGAGTGTGACCAGTGTGAAAAGGCTTTTAAAACATCCCAGCAACTCACCAGTCACTACAGAACGCACACAGGAGACAAACCAGACGACTGAAGAAAGAGGGGAAGGCTTTCAGGTCTGTGAGGAACATGTCCAAATCTTCCAGACTGAAGAGAAAAGCTGCAGCTGTGACCAGTGTGGAAGGACTTTGAGAAAACCTGCTCATCTGAGCGCTTCACCCTCTTGACACTGATTGATCTGGAGAAGGTGTTCGACCATGTCCCTCGTGGTGTCCTGTGGGGGGCGCACTGGAAGAATTTATTTTCACTACACATTCTGTACGATGGTTTGATCATTTTACAATATAAAGTGTGTTACCATGGCTTATTAAACTTTTTGTAAGACATCTGGCTGATTCTTTTGTGCTGATTCTTTTCCCTGCAGCAGGTCAATACAGACAGCACCCCCCTTGTATATTTTTTCAGAGGAAAGAGGTTTTGAGATATCTGTTGAAAAATTGGTTGAGACTTTTAAGTTAAGATGTGACGGTTAAAGAAAAAGGGAAATTCAAGCTGCTGCTCTTTTTTTTTTTCTGAAATAAGGCCTTTTGTTTTAAGATGCACAATTCAGCCATTTTATTTATTTTCTCTAATTCATTTTAAACTGCAGCCCTGTATATAATGTAGACCTACTGTGTGTTTCAGGGTTAAAAATAAATTTTTGTTGAAATGTTTTTCACTTGTATTTTCATTGATTTGACAGTCCAATGTTCATACTTTCAGACAATAATAAAACTATGCTACTTCTGTATCACAATGATAATGTAAGTCTGATATTATGAGGTCCTGGACCTCCACTTGAGGAAATTTTCTATAAGCATCTCAAATTTTAGTTGAATACCCCTCCCTGCATTCGGATAAAAATTCACATATGATACACATTAAAAAACATGAACATTCAATTATACAAATCCCCGCCATTTTTCTCAGAATATAAGAATCTACATTTTTATAAACCAAGCCCCCGCACACTTTACACTTTTCAAAGTTCCCACCCGGAACCAAAATAAGCCGGGTCAAGTCCGTCGGAGCGATTTTGGCAGACACCACCCGGAAGACGCCGCCGCAGTTGGTCCGAGCCGCCCGCCGCCATCGGTAAGTTTTACTCATGGATCTATGTTTTACACTTTTAACAAATATAGATTCATGTTCTAACTCCACATTTATCCAAGTTTGGTGTCAAGACTCACAGATTTAGAATCTCGCGTTCAGCCTCTTGGCACGCGTTAATACAGCCGCCATCTTGGTGCGGGGTCTCCCTGGTTTAAGGTAAAGTTTTTCAGTTTCAGATGCGGGACGAACGAGCGGAGTAAGAAGACGAAAGAGCAAAGCAAATCATTTCATAGGAACGATTTTATTTTGTAAGTCAGTGATACTTAATGTTATTGTGTTTTGAACCCAGACTGACTGAACCAGGACTAATGTTGGACTTAGAGCTCGAGAGAGAGAGCGCGAGAGTGTGTTTATTGTTTGGCTTTGCTTTCTCACTGTTCCTGATGGACTGATGTCGCTACAACTAAATTTATAGATAGATTAGATTTACAATCTCGCGTTCAGCTAGTGATGGACAAATGAAGTCCCACGAACCATCTGAGGCTTTTAGGCAGTTGTACAAGAGTCAGTGCCTCGCCAAGTGATTCAATATGTTCAACTCCACCATCTTGTGGATAAAAAATGTAACACATGTAAAAAGAGAAACCAAATGGGATCATGTTTCATTTAAAACGTCACACTCAGTGGTTACATTTATCAAATAAATAAGACCCTCAATTCTCTACAGAGTTTCTCAATGCAGTGACACAAATATTTACATACACATATTTTTTGACATTGTCCAAGAGTATGATGTTCTTATTTTACTGTGCTTTGTCCAAATAGGGTTTTGCCGCAGTCCACAGGTCAACAGTCTGTTTGTTTTTTGTGTCCAACGATTGAGCCGCCTGCTCCATAGAAATTAAATCCAAAAAATCTTTGTACCAATTGTCTATCTCGAAGCACTTATGTTTGCGTTCCTTCCAGTTCATCATAATAATACATTTTGCTGATAAAAAACCCAGTGATAATATGTAGTCCAATGATATATTTATATTTATAACATTTTACTGGCATTGGAGAAGCGTCATGAATTGTTGTAGGCTGTAGAATTTTATTGTGTGCTCTAACATGACTCAATAAGCATACTAATGTTCAAAACAGCGGTAAATGGAGCCATGCTTCTTCTCCGTAAACACTCACCTCACTCACCGGAATGCTCAGCAGCGCAATTAGAAGTTACTACAATAACTTTTACTCATTTGATCACTACGTACTATGTGGGAGAGTAGAGTGAGCCTACTCAAAACAACACTTACATGCGGAAAATGATCGCATGACGGAAGCAAACTATAAATGAAACGGCCTCGTTTAAAAAGAGAGAGAGATCCCATTTGAGGAGTTGTTTAATTAACTTTGGAATTTTTGATTTAACGAGTTTATTGTGTTATTGTTCTAACTTACCTTCACTTTATAAAAAACATTTACTTTACATCATATCTGGTTTGTGTTACTTTCCTTTGTCCCAAGCACTGGGTTGTACAGTATGTTTCCTTCATTTGATTTTCTTTTGCTACAGACAGAAAAAGTGTGACTTTAAAATAAAATACAAACTTAGTTGATGCTTTCAGCCATAATGTAACTTGCTTGTATAACACGCATTGAAACATTATTACATATGATTTACTATTTGTAATTTTATGTATATTTCATCTGAACAGTTAAAAAAATAATTTTACTTGACACTTCCTTTCCTTTGTTCTAATGCAGAGCAACAAGATCCACCAACAGAATGGGGTTCACATGTGACAAGTGTGGAAAGGTGTGGCCAAATCTTTCCAGACTGAAAAGACACTACAGAAGCCACACAGGAGAAAGACCATACAGGTGTGACCAGTGTGAGGCGAGATTTATAAACATCAGTGGCCTCCATCAACATATGAGAACTCACACAGGAGAGAAACCATACAGCTGTGACCAGTGTGGAAAGGCGTTTATACAATCTGGTCATCTCCGTCAGCATATGAGAAGTCACACAGGAGAGAAACCATACAGCTGTGACCAGTGTGGAAAGGAATATACAAGCCCTGCTGTCCTCCGTCAACATATGAGAATCCACACCGGGGAAAAACCATACAAATGTGATGTTTGTGAAAAGAGATTTTCACAGTCATCCCACCTTGTATCACATATGAGAACTCACACTGGAGAGAAGCCATACGAGTGTGACCAGTGTGAGAAGGCGTTTCGAGGATCTAATGCCCTTGTACGACATATGACAATCCACACTGGAGAGAGGCCACACGAGTGTGACCATTGTGGGAAAAGGTTCTCTACATCAACCAATCTCAAAGCACACATAAGAACTCACTCCTGGGTCATAGTATATGAGTGTGACCAGTGTGAAAAGACTTTTAAAACATCCCAGCAGCTCTCCAGTCACTACAGAACGCACACAGGAGATGAACCAGACGACTGAAGAAAGAGGGGAAGGCTTTCAGGTCTGTGAGGAACATGTCCAAATCTTCCAGACTGAAAAGAAAAGCTGCAGCTGTGACCAGTGTGGAAGGACTATGAGAAAACCTGCTCATCTGAAGCTGCACCCTCTTGAACACACTGAAGGAGAAAGAGCTGCTGAGGCCGGATCAAGTGAAACTAAAGTCAGACTCAAAAAGGAACAGATCAGGCTTCAGAGACTCCAGACTGTGGAGTTGAGCTGTGTGTAGTGTGAAAAATTAAAAGCTTAAGCTGATATGTACAGGTTTCTTTTTTTTTTATTATTATTATTATTAGACAGAGGTTTTAGCAGACTGTATTGTTTTTACAGTGAAGAATAAGATGAACTAACTTTAGCTCAGGGATGGTCCCTCTGTTTAAAAAGAGGGACTGGAGGGTGTGTTCCAAGTTAGGGCTGTCGTGATAACCACAAAATGAATCACTGCGGTGCATGTTGGACCACCACCAGCACACTATGTGACCAACGTGACCCGACCCAGAGTCCTGCACGGGTAAATTTTTGGAGACCCACACCAGCCCGGACCCGTTAACATTCCACCTGTTACCCACCTGTGCCCGTGATAAATCACACACAGATTAAAATCATTCTAACTGAAGCATCCATCAGAATAGGAAATGAAAAGTTACGACTTAAAGAATTACAATCACGAAAGGAAACACTTACGTTTTCTTCAGTACAAATACAAATTCACAGACACGACTCGACAATCATCACTTCACAGGCTTTTTTCACTGAGCAGAAGAAACACTCATCGAGATGCTGCACTTTTCCACCACACGCTATGGACTGAACCAGGACTAATCTAGGACTGATTCCTGGACTGACCCAGGACTGACTGTTGGGACGGGCTCAGAGTTGTGGCCATTGAGACTGTTGGGTGACCACAGATGAAAGGGCCGGTGTAGAGCTCCACGCCCCATGGAGATAAGGACAACCATCACCCGATCGCGCTTTGCAGACACCCTGCTCCGCAAGCTCGGAGTTCTCTCTCTTAAGTCCAAGATTAGTTGTGGTTTTGCTGTTGAGCTGTTATAATGCACCGCAGGAGAAATTGCCTCACCACGACAGCCCTATTCCAACTACAGGGGGATCACACTCCTCTGCCTCACCGGTCAGGTCTATTCCAGGGGACTGGAGAGGAGAATCCGGCCGATAGTTGAACCTCGGATCCAGGAGGAGCAGTGTGGTTTTTGTCCTGGTTGTGGAACACTGGACCAGCTCTACACTCTCCATCACGTGCAAGTTTGTCCAACGGTGTTTGACCGTGTTCCTCGTGGTGTCCTGTGGGGGGCGCTCTGGGAGAATTTATTTTAACTACACATGCTGTAAGATGGTTAATAAGTTTACAATAGAAAGTATGTTACCATGGCTTATTAAACTTTTTGTAAGACATCTGGCTGATTCTTTCGTGCTGATTCTTTTCCCTGCAGCAGGTCAATACAGACAGCACCCCCCTAGTATATTTTTCATAGAGGAAAGAGGTTTTGAGATATCTGTTGAAAAATTGATTGAGACTATCAAGTCGAGATGTGACAGGTAAAGAAAAAAGGAAACTCAAGCTGCTGCCGGGTTTTTTTTTCTGAAATAAAGCCCTTTGTTTTAAGATGCACAATTCAGCCATTTTATTTATTTTCTCTAATTCATTTTAAACTGCAGCCCTGTATATAATGTAGACCTACTGTGTGTTTCGGTGTTAAAAATAAATTTTGTTGAAATGTTTTTCACTTGTATTTTCATTGATTTGACAGTCCGATGTTCATACATTCAGACAATAATAAAACTATGCTACTACTTAACATGTCACTTCAATCAACATTCTCAAACGCATTGAAAACTGCGGTCATTAAGCCTCTCTTAAAGAAGAGCAGTCTTGATGCCACAGTACTGAACAATTTCCGACCCATCTCAAATCTGCCGTTTTTTGGCAAAGTCCTTGAAAAAGCTGTTTACCAACAGCTTACGAACTTTCTCCAAATGAACAACTCCTTTGATGTTTTCCAGCCTTTTTTAGAGCCCACCACAGCACTGAGACTGCTCTGATCAAGGTGACAAATGACATCCGCCTGAACACTGATGCAGGCAAAGTCTCAGTCTTGATCCTGTTAGATCTGAGTGCTGCTTTTGACACTGTCGATCATGGGATCCTCTTACAGAGACTAGAGGACTGGGTGGGCATCTCTGGTGCTGCACTAAACTGGTTCAAGTCCTATATAGAAGACAGGAAGTATTATGTTGAAATTGGAAACTGTGTCTCAGATCACATGGCCCTGACCTGTGGGGTGCCTCAGGGGTCAATCCTGGGCCCCCTGTTGTTCAATCTCTACATGCTGCCATTAGGCCAGTTAATAAGCAGCAATAATGTGTCCTACTACAATTATGCAGACGACACTCAGATCTACGTCTCTCTGGCAGCAGGAGACTATGGACCAGTGGACTCACTCTGCCATTGCATCCAACAGATCAGTGTGTGATGAACAACTTTCTCCAACTAAACTCTGACAAGACTGAAGTCATAGTGTTTGGTCCACAGAAACAAAGGGACAGTGTCAGCAGTCACCTCCAGTCTCTCTCTCTAAAATCTTCAAATCAGGCAAGAAATCTAGGGGTAATAATGGACTCAGACTTGAAATTTAACAGCCACATCAAATCAATAACATCTGCAGCCTTTTACCATCTAAAAAACATAGCAAAAATCAAAGGTTTACTGTCTAAATCAGACTTGGAGAAACTTATCCATGCGTTTGTCTCCAGGAGGTTAGACTACTGTAATGGTCTGCTCACTGGTCTCTCCAAACGAGCTGTAAGACGCTGCAGAAAATCCAGAACGCTGCAGCTCGGGTCCTTACTCGAACTAGGAAGTACGAGCACATAAGTCCTGGTCTCAGGTCTCTGCACTGGCTCCTGTGGCTCAGAGACTTTAAAGCAGCTCTGCTTGTACAAGTGTCTCCATGGCTGAGCACCAAAGTCCATCTGTGACATGTTAGTGTCATATGAACCATCTCACACTCTGAGGAGCTCAGGGACCGGCCTCCTGCTGGTGCCCAGAGTCACGACTAAACAAGGGGAGTCAGAGTTTCAGGTTCACGCAGCTAAAACCCGGAACAGTCTGAACATGTGAGACAGACTCTTCTGTGACGCTGTTTAAATCCAGGCTCAAAACATTTCTGTTTGACTGTGCATATGACTGAAAAGTTTTTATTCCGCACTCTTCTCTCCAATATATGTCTCTTGAATTGTGAATTACGAATTGTGCTATACAAATAAACTTTCCTTTCCTTTCCTTGCCTACTTCTGTATCACAATCATAATGTAAATCTGACATTATGAGCTCCTGGACCTCCACTTGAGGAGATTTCCTACAACCTCCTCAAATTTTAGTTGAATACCCCTCCCTGCATTACGATAAATATTCACATAAAACACATACTAAAAACATGAACATTCATTTATACCCGCTATTTTTCTCAGAAAATAAGAATCTACATTTTTATAAACCAAGCCCCCCGCACACTTTCCACTTTTCAAAGTTCCCACCCGGAACCAAAATAAGATGGGTGAAGCCTGTTGTGTTGTGCCCTCATTTTATTATTTGTATTATGATAGAGACTTATGATTTAACCAATGGCGTGTAAGAACACTTGATCACGTGAGGCACAAAATTATGAATGGCCTGCACCTGTGAATAAAAGTGTGTGCCCGTGGGGAATGCGGTAACCACACAAAAAGAGAATACGAAGTGTACTGTGTTTTAATGCTCACGACAACGCTGCGTAAAAGGGACCCTGCTAACAAAGTCCGTCGGAGCGCTTTTGGCAGACACCACCCGGAAGACGCCGCCGCAGTTGGTCTGAGCCGCCCGCCGCCATCGGTAAGTTTTACTCATGGATCTATGTTATACACTTTTAACAAATATAGATCCATGTTTTAACTCCACATTTATCCATGTTTTGGTATCAAGACTCATAGATTTAGAATCTCGCGTTCATACTCTTGAAATGTGTTAATACAGCCGCCATCTTGGTGCGGGGTCTCCCTGGTCTAAGGTTAAGTTTTTCACAGTTTCAGATGCGGGACGAACGAGCGGAGTAAGAAGACGAAAGAACAAAGCAAAACATTTCATAGGAACGATTTTATTTTGTAAGTCAGTGATACTGAATGTTATTGTGTTTTGCACCCAGACTGACTGAACCAGGACTCACGTGCCGTGACGTGACTCTGTGGTGTCTTGAGGGACAGTACGGACACAGACACACACAAATGACTCCACAGATAAATACTGATGCGGAGCCACAGATGAGGACATTTATCTGTCTGTAAATTGGATTAAATGAACATAATGTCGAGAGACTATAAGAAGAAATAACAGATTTAAGCACTTTTAAGTCTTAGTTCTTTGGATTAAATCTTGTCAAGGTATTTTCAAGAGGAAAAAGTAGAATATTAACAGTTTTGTTTGCAGCCTTCACAAAATATATATACCGTGAGATGTATATTGTGAAAATATCGTACAGAGAGATTTGGATATTGTCACATCCCTAATTGTGAGCCTTCCCACCATATCGTGAACTTTCTCACGATATCGCAATAAATATCGTACCGTGACGATATCGTATTGTGAGACATTAGACCCTTAATGTTTATGCAAATCTAGGAATATGTTTTATTGAGCCAAGTCGTATTTTGAAGTTATTCTTTTATAAACTATCTGTTAACTGCTGCTAGCATAGATGCTAAAGCCACCTGAACTTCCAATGCATGGCTCTGTAAATGTTTATAAGCCATGTTTTTGTTTATTAATGCGCAGTTAACGGCTGTGTACAATTGAAATAACATAAGTACTGGTGATACAAGATACTGATTAGAACAGTACATGAAAATACATTCAGGGTTATTTTTATGAACTTGTACAATATCTGTAACAAATAATATTGGAAATAACTGTGTAATTATTAAAGTATTAGTCTGCGTAGTCATACAGCAGAAGCAGTTCAGTGTAAGCTGTTGATAACGGTCAGTCCCGATGACTCAGCAGAGCTGTTTTTCTGTCCTTACAGAATTAAAGTTGCACTGTTACACCAAAGCCCAGGCTTCTGTCCTCACGTGTGTTTTTTTTGTCATTTCCACTGAACATGTGGATTAGAATTCAGAGCAAAAACGTTGTTAAATATCTCTGTGTATGTTTCCTTAATTTGATTTTCTTTTGCTACATACAGAAAAAGTGTGCCTTTAAAATAAAATACAAACTTAGTTGATGCTTTCAGTGAAATGTAACTTGCTTGTAAAACACACATTGAAACATTCTTACATATGATTTACTATGTGTAATTTTATGTGTATTTAGTGTGAACAGTTAAAAAAGTAATTTTACTTGACACTTTTCTTTCCTTTTTTCTAATGCAGAGTGACAAGATCCACCAACAGAATGGGGTTCACATGTGACAAGTGTGGAAAGGTGTGGCCAAATCTTTCCAGACTGAAAAGACATTACAGAATCCACACGGGAGAAAAACCATACAGGTGTGACCAGTGTGGGAAGGAATTTATACACTCTTGTAATCTCAATCAACATATGAGAATCCACACAGGGGAGAAACCATACAAATGTGAAATTTGTGAAAAGGAATTTTCACACTCAAGCGGCCTTAAATCACATATGAGAACTCACACAGGAGAGAAAACATTTGAATGTGACCAGTGTGGAAAGGCGTTTATACAATCTGGTCATCTCCGTCAACATATGAGAACTCACACAGGAGAGAAACCATACAGCTGTGATCAGTGTGGAAAGGAATATAAAAGCCCGGCTGGCCTCCGTCAACATATGGGAATCCACACCGGGGAAAAACCATACAAATGTGATGTTTGTGAAAAGAGATTTTCACAGTCATCCCACCTTGTATCACATATGAGAACTCACACTGGAGAGAGGCCATACGAGTGTGACCAGTGTGAGAAGGCGTTTCGAGGATCTTATGCCCTTGTACGACATATGACAATCCACACTGGAGAGAGGCTACACGAGTGTGACCATTGTGGGAAAAGGTTCTCTACATCAACCAATTTCAAAGCACACATGAGAACTCACTCCTGGGACATAGTATATGAGTGTGACCAGTGTGAAAAGGCTTTTAAAACATCCCAGCAGCTGTCCAGTCACTACAGAACGCACACAGGAGATGAACCAGACGACTGAAGAAAGAGGGAAAGGCTTTCAGGTCTGTGAGGAACATGTCCAAATCTTCCAGACTGAAAAGAAAAGCTGCAGCTGTGACCAGTGTGGAAGGACTTTGAGAAAACCTGCTCATCTGAAGCTGCACCCTCTTGAACACACTGAAGGAGAAAAAGCTGCTGAGGCTGGATCAATTGAGCCTAAATTCATACTCAAAAAGTTGGAAATCGGGCTTCAGAGACTCCAGACTGTGGAGTTGAGCACAGTGTAGTTTCAAAAATTTTAATTTTAAAATGGTATGATTTTTATTAGAAAGTAGGGCAGCCATGGGGTCTTAAAAGTCTTAAAAAGGTCTTAAATGTCATGTTCCTAAATTAAAAAGTTTTAAATTATGTTTTCGAAGTCGTTATTCACAAAGGTCTTAAATTTCATTAGATTGTTTTTTTGTTTACTCAACTGGGCTGGTCAGAGGAGGGAGGAAAAAAACAATGTGAAATCATGTAACATGAATGAACGTCTAATTTGGAGTATGCGCAAACACTTGGATTTC